ACATTTAATTATTTATTTAATGCTATGTTTATTTATTTAACTTTGGCACTTTTTATCCTCCATATTGTTCAGGCCAACCATTGGATTTTTTGGTTTTGTAATGGGAAATCCAAAATCGGAAAACCAATAATTTCCTGAGTTCCAAATATAGTAAAAAATAGAAAAAACAAAAAGAAGCCCATTTTTATTGTTTTGTTTTGAAATCCTAAATCAGAAAACAAAAAAGTCCCATTATCGTTTTTTTTTTATTTTTTTTATTTCAAACAGAAAATGAAAATTAAAAACTGCATATTGACGTCATTCCAAAAAAGTTAAAAAACGATTCACTGGGCTTTGTTTCCAAGTTTGAAGACGTTTCGCTTCCCATCCAGGAAGTTTTTTCAATTCAAAATGGCCATTTTGAATTGAAAGAGCTTGCATTTAATTTTCCCCAAATTGGAATTAAGTAAAGGTTAAAAAGTTTATGCAGCGTTTTATACATCCATCTTTTTTATTCCATCAAGATTTCTCCCTCTCGCCAAATTTTAGAAAGTCCTTTTAGACCCCAGCTGTGTTTAACGCAGCACTGAGATCTAGCAGCTAACAGACCCTGAAATATTTGCCTTTTCCAAAGCTGGCCGTCCAGCGAGGTTCCAACATAATCAGTCCATTACATGAAAAAATGACATCCTCCTAAAATTTCTATTTTTACTCCTTCAAATTGCACATTATGCTGAATAAATGTCCTGATTCTGCTCTTAATTCATCCATAATTTGTGTCAAATATCTTTCAGGGGAAAGACGGGGTGCAGCTAGAGACACATCACTAGTGATCGCCTTTGTGTGCAAGGTTCGTCTCTATAGATCAAATGCTTCCATGTTTGATAGCGGAGCCTTTGTTTTTGACACCTCTCATACTTTTAGCTTCATCCCAAGAAAGGAAACTTCTTGGTTGCTGAAGCCAAAGAGCTCGGACTGCCAGTGTGAGTGTCCATACTTCCTGTCATTTATTAAAGTCTGACCAAATCTGTAATAATGTCTTTAAAATGGTCTACCTGCAGGGGAACAGCAGCTATTGGTCCTCTCATCAAGGCCTTGAAAGATGGAGAAACCATCGTTCATGATGGAAAAGAGGTGCTGTTTGATACCACCAGTCATTGGATACACCTCCAAATGTTTCAGCTGCCTGACTGTTTGCTTCCGTCTCACAGATCCGACCCGAACAGGTTTGTACTCCCACTGACCCGGGACCAGTTTTTATCGTGGTGGAGTGTCCGTCTGAGGAGTTTGTCGAAGGTGTTTGTAACAACCAGCAACTGAGGAGGTAAATATGTCAGCCGACGTCTGAGTTAGGGCTGAAACTATTAATCGATTATTGTAATAATCGTTAACTAATTTAGTAATCGATTAATCGTTAACTGATATATAGAGACTTTAAAATGAATCTTTAGCTGACAGAGCAACCCGCTTAGAGCGGTAATTACATCAAAATTGTAAAAAAAAAAAGTCAACATTATTCATTTAACATAGAAATATCTTTTTTGTCTGTCATTATGTTCAATCCAGAACTTCACAAGTGGTAGTTTTATTTTCACCTGGTTTAATTTCGTTAAATGTTTTCTTTAAAGAATCCTTTGCTATCTGATTATTAATTGATAATTCAAAAAACTAATCCACGGATTCATTGATTTTCAAAATAATCGTTAGTTGCAGCCCTAGTCGGGAGCGTGGAGTGTTGCATTGTGGGAACTTGTTGTTTCTTTCAGATACCAGACTGGAGGGACTGAAGACTCAGCTGTCCTGGTGGTCCACATGACTCCAGAGTCCATTCTGGAAACGGACCAGTACAAAGAATGGATGGAGAGGTTTTGCTTTTCGTAATATTTTTTTTTTTAAACCAGAGTTTGTTTTTTTTAGGTTGAGTATCTGAGACCATTCTGGAATTTCACAGGTTTCCATCCACGACAGAACACCTGATCCTCAACGAGCAGGTCTGCACTGTCCATAACATCAGAAGTCACAAGATTCAGACGCAGCTCAACATGATTCATCCGGAGATCTTCCCACAACTCAAAGCCTATAAAGCAAAGGTAATGTTTCTGCTTTCATGTGGTCACTGATTAGTTTTATGTTTATACACCAGATTAAAATCTGCCTAATGCTTTATATTATTATTTCAGCAACCACAAGCTGCGCTGCACGTCCCTAATGTCCGAGCAGAATGTCTGCTAAAGTTCCAGCTCCGACCTGTAATGGAATGGCAAAGGTTGGTTTCCTCAGCTTCACTTTCTAGATAAATATTAAATCTGACTTGGACTTTGTTTTATTTTAACAGTTTCACAAGATTGATTAAAACAGGAAAAATAATTCTTCTGCTGGTTGTTTTTTTTTGTAGACTGTGAAGTCAGTCCTTTTTTTTCTGTCTCTTATGTTGACAGAGACGCAATGTCCTCCTGCATCACCGAGGAGTTTGTGAGAGAAGCTTCTGAGGTTCCAAACTTTCTGGAAGAAGTTGAAAAGTGCAGAAAGGCTTGTTCAGCAGAAGCAGCGGAGCTTTCTGGTCAGTTCCGGAAGTGCTTGTTAAGTTTTTGTTCATAAAATAATATATTTTTTTATTTTCTTTTTTTTTTTGTACAGTGTCCTGTCTTGCGATGTGGCAATAAGAATAATTGTCTTGATGCCAAAAAGAGCCGAACAGATTTTGCTTGATTTATGCATATAAATAGCTTTATTATAAGTCATGCAGGGAGTATTAAAGATGTATGGACACTGCAATGTAAGTAGAACAGGAAAAGTGCAGCAGAAAAGTGCAGGAAGACTTGTTCAGCAATAGCAGCAGACATTTCTGGTCAGTTCCGAAAGGGCTTGTTAAATTTTTGTTCTTAAACTAATATTTAACGTGATAGGTTTTTGTTTCCTTCTTGCAGTTCCGGGTGAAAAATACCCAGAGGTGGTCTTCCTGGGAACCGGATCGGCTCTTCCCATGAAAATCAGAAATGTCAGCGGAACTTTAGTGAACATCAGGTAAATGTAAAATAGCAGCTTATTATCTTAAATCTACTTTTCGTTTGTCTATAATAGATAATGTTTGTTTGTCTCCTCATGAAGTGCGAGTCAGTCCCTGCTGCTGGACTGTGGAGAGGGAACCTTCGGTCAGCTCTGCAGGCACTACGGAGACCACGTGGATGACGCTTTATCAAAGATCTCCACTGTCTTCATCTCACATCTTCATGCGGACCATCACACAGTAAGTGATGGTGCAACAATCGGGTGTTAGAGACGTCAAACCTGCGGTATAATCCTGACATTAATGCTCTTCTTAGGGGCTGATAAAGCTGCTGTACCAGAGACAACGAGCGCTGGTATGTAAGCTCTCACTGGCTTTCTGGTGCGTTTCAAAAAGGTTACCAAGACAGCAAACTGGGTCTTCTCCCTCATGCAGGGTAACGGTTGTCTTAATTTTATGTATGTGATCATGCCTCTAGGACACCTTGGGAAAACCCTTCAGCCCCATCTACTTGGTGGCTCCAGCTCAGATCATGACCTGGCTGGGACAGTATCACGACTACTGCGAGGAGATCCTGGATCATTTTACGTATGTTGAAAAACAGAAACAATTGATAGCATCAGGCTGCAGGAACAAAGGTGTGATGTTTCCTTTATTATGCGATGCAGTTGACGCCTCAATTCTGTAGAAATAGTTGCCATAGTTTTAAAGTTGGGATTACAGGCTGCCTTGATTAAGCGTTGAATTCTTACATTATTATGTTATTTAATAACAGCTGCCGTTTCTGTTGTTTCCAGTCATATCCCCAACAGATTCCTCTGTGATGACGCTGAGGTGTCCAAACCCAAAACCCATTCGTTCATCCAGGCAATGCTTAAAAAGAACGACCTTGAGAAGGTCTGCAGCCGTCTCAGCCTCCTCGTTTTTACAGCATTCTTTAAGAGGGTTTAAACTCAATAAATGTTTCTGTCGCTTAGTTCCGGACCTGCATTGTGCGCCACTGCAAGAATGCCTTCGCCTGCAGCTTTGTGCACCAGTCAGGCTGGAAGCTGGCCTTCTCTGGAGACACCATGCCCTGCGACGCTTTCGTAAATATCGGTAAGCAGCACTCTGAGATTAAAGCCCATATGCGAGCGGGTTGTCAAACTGCAATGTGAGATTTAACATTTTAATGTTTGATTGAAGCTGCAGCTTCCCAGCACAGGTTTCACTCATTCATTTAGCTTCCAGCTTATTTTATCGCTTCCCATTAGACCGATTCTGGTTAAATAGCTTGGCTGGATTCTTTCCAAGCAGGACGTCTCTGAGGAAGCGTTTGTATCCGTTCCCTGCAGATATGATGCATCTGCAGAAAGAATGATGGTTCTTAGTTTTGGACATTTTGTTTTAGGTAAAAAATGGGTTAGAAATCTCTTATAGAGTTTTGCGGATTTCTTTGTAGGCAAGAATTCAACATTATTGATCCATGAAGCCACGCTGGAGGATGAGCTGGAGGAGGAAGCTGTGGAGAAAAGACACAGGTGAGTAGTCCTGACTGACAGCTGATGGGAGTTTAGATGCTTCTAGCAATACTTGAATAATGCTCTTTTTTTTTTTTTCTGACAGCACAACCTCACAGGCCATCGGCATCGGCATGAAGATGAACGCAGACTTCATCATGTTAAACCACTTCAGCCAACGCTACGCCAAGATCCCCCTATTCAGTGAAGACTTCAATGACAAAGTGGGAATATCCTTCGACCACATGAAGGTAAGACTGAGAAATGTTCATATATACATACATGAATTCAGTCTAATATTGATTATCTTTTAATAATGACTTATTATCTTCCAGATCTGCTTCAGAGACTTTAAAACCCTTCCTAAGCTTATTCCTGCTCTTAAAACCCTCTTTGCTGAAGAGCTGGAGGAGATGGAGGAGAGAAGAGAGAGGAGGGAGCTGAGAAATCCAAAAGGAGTTTCCAACGATGCTGTCAGCGAGCAGAAGATGTTTGGAAGATCTGAGGTGGAAAGAGGAGTGAAGAGAGAGCAGGAGGCTGCAGGGTTAGACAGCATAGACACAAAGAGACCCAAGACCACCTGATTCATCCGGAGGAGAGGACTCTGCAGGAGCGCATACTGGATTATTTTATTTATGAGAAACTGAGATTTTTATTTGACTTAAAGAAATAAGTTTTCATGAGATGTGTGCAAAAGTTTAAGTTTATAACATGCTTTGGTTTTCATTAAACAGAATAAAGCATCTTCACTCCAAACTGGTTCATCCAGATACTTTGCTTGAGCTAAATGGAGGAAATCTTGTTTTAACACTGAAAGATTTTTTTAATAAAAAAAATAAAAAAATTCTGAGTAACTGCTGTTTTATCAGCTTTTGTTTAAGTTTTTTTTTTTTTTTCTTACTTTGAGCCCAATACTATATACTCTTGATACACAAATGGAGCTGACATCCATGCAGAGCAATGGAGGTTTTCACTCTAGAAGAAATCCCGCCCCAAGAAGTGGAGGGAATATGATGTGCTGTTTGAAAAGAATTTAGTTTCTTCTGAAAAAACTAATTTTTTTCCCATAAAATCTTAACAGTCAAAACATTCTGATGATTAAAAACAGCAATTTTACTCACAAATCTTTTTCTTCATTTTGTTTTTGAAAGTTTCTAGACCAAATTCTCTTGCTCTACACATACTCAGATAATCTTAGCTATGAATGCTGCTAGGTAAACTATAGCTGAAAAACTGTCACGAGGTTTTAGCTGCTATATTAATTCTAAGTTTAGATCTATTAATAGACAATGTCGGTTTTGAAATTCGCCAGTATGTTTTTCAAGAAAATTCTTTTGAGCCCAACGATACACCCAGACAAAAACTGGTTCATTCCAAAGACCCAAACCTAACCTGAGCGGCATTTTGTGTGCAATCCAGTTCACTGAGAACTGTACGGCCTCCTATATTGGAAAAACCAAACATCTGCATAAATGCATGGCACAGCAGAGAGCCAGTGGCTCTGAGAAAGATCCAGCTGTACACTTGCACCTCAAGAACAAGGGATACACCTTTGAAGACCAAAGTGTTCAGCTTTTGGACAGAGACGACAGATGGTTTGAAAGAGGGATGAAGGAAGCTATCTTTATGTAAAACCATCACTGAACAGAGGGGGGAATCAGGATTAGCTTCCAAGCATTTACAATTTAGTCATGGAACTCATTCCTAAAATATTACATAAGCACTACCATTATGATTCAAAGGACCAATCATAGAGCCTGTGCACAACAAAAGGCTCCTACGTTCCAGGAGAATGAAGGGTGGCTATTTGATTAGCATCTGACACTAAATAAGTGCGAGAGGCTGGACTTCCATGCTGCTTAAATACATCAGCACTCCTACAAGAATTTGCTCTGCAGAGCGTCAACAGAATTGACAAATGACCCCTGGATAGCTAGTATTTAAAGTATTTAAAGAAAGGTGAGCGAAAGTCAGATTGCCTTCCTATTTAAGACTGTTTGTGGTTCAATTAAATGAATACAATAACCATGAAGTAAGTAGATTAAATGACAGACATGCTGCCATTTTAACATGAAGTTGTTTTTACTTTATATAGTTTAATTATATTGTAAAATCTCACATTTGATATTTTCACTGGTTTGTAACTGGTATTTTTTATGTGTGGATCAATTTTTAACTATCTCGGCAAGGGCAAGCTTGTAAAAGTTTGGTCACTTTTCTTTTTAAAAGTTTTTTTCATATCAATTTTTTCTAGTTAAATAAAGGTAAAAACATAAAAAAGATTTTATATTTATGATTCATATTTTCTTATTTAATACCTGATTAATATACTAAAGGAACAAATGCATTGTAAAATGTGGAATTTAAATTAAAGATCATTCAAATAAATTGAAATGGTTAATTTATTAAATGCCATGTAAAATAAAAGAAAATATTGAAAGATGAACATACTTTATGAATATAAAAACTAAAAAAATATTCTATTGCTTAAAATTAATTTATTAATAGTCATTTTATTAGTTTCTCTATTGAAAGAAAAATAATTTCACAAAAGCCAATATAATTGTTGGTACAATTACCAATGGTGAGTTCTGAAGGAACCGTGACAGACTGCTGAAGACCAGAGTCACCATGACACATGAAGCAGGGAAGATGCAGAACGACAGCCTGATGATTGGGGCGATGGAGGGAAAAGTTCTCTCTCAAAGACTTTGATCTCACAGGAGAGAAATCATCAAAATACAAACGGAAATATTCAGAAAATTTATCTGCATTTACAAAAAAAAGTTTTATTGATAATTAATAGAATACTATTAATTTAAGGAACAATAATTCATAGCATTTATTGAAATATGAATAACATTTATTTAGATAATATGCAATTACTTAATTATTTTACATTTTTAGAAATGCCTGTCTCTACTCCTGTCATAAACAAATTTCTTGGTTGGATGAATACATTTATATCCAAATGGTCCGTGTGTGAATATTCTTGGGGATAACTGAATGTACTAAAATATACAATTATGACTATATATACATTTTGAGCTTTTTGATTTCATTATTGAAATAAATAAAAGTATAATAATTTCATTTAAATTTCTATTTAAAAAACTCCAATACCATGTTTATCATGTGAAGAAGGCCAAGCAATGACTTCTTTATCCATGAATTTGGAAAGTTCAGAACTCTCTCTTCAGCTACTGATAAACTTTTACAGGACCGTGTAAAACATCTTGCGTCTCAGCATGACAGTGTGGTCTGGGAGCAAAACAGGAAGAACTTTGCACCGGCGGTAACACAGCACAGGGGATTGTGGGATCCCATCTGCCAGATCTGGACTCAGTTTATGTTACACAAATGTAATAAAAGGACCAGACATAATGCCACAGAACCCACCACCAGGCCTATGAGCTGTTTGTTTCTCTTACAACAGAAAAGTGTCTAAGGAACTTTACACCCAGCAGAAATAGCCTTAAAAACATTTTGGTACATTTCATGACCAATTCAGTCTGTTCATTGGCTGCTCTAGCATGAGCTACAGCTGCTTTATATGAATACGCCATGCAACATCCCTATGCTCATATTTTTATGCTTCTTCTTAGGAGATTTACCTTTTCTCCTAATGTGCCTTATAATATTTACGTTTGTTAAATATATTTATGTCTGCTGTATTTATGTACATTCTGTGGCTTGACAAAACCATTTAATCATGGGTCCATAATCTTGATTAGATTCTTGATAGAGCTTTAAATTATTTTTAAAAGACAAGTAAAATCAAGACGGAATATTTAATAGACCAAAACAATTTTTTGTTATCTAAAAATGGTTGTATGTATATATATATATAAGATAAGATGTTTGTTGATTTAAAACTCTAAACACCACTTTCCAGACGACCAGAACTTCATAATTGTGGGACAATAAAGGGATTTTCCATTTCCATTCTATTCTATTCTATTCTATTCTATTCTATTCTATTCTATTCTATTCTATTCTATTCTATTCTATTCACTTGTTTGACACCTTCAGTTTTCCACACAAGCATTTTAAAGAGTATCCAGCAGAGGGCGATAGTGCCTTTTGAATGTTTAGACTTTTTAAGGCCCCTCTCTTTCATCAGGAAGAAGGATTTAAGCCAGTTTAAAAAAAGGTTATGTTTAAGGTAATTTCAAGAATAAGTTCTTTAAAAGGTTTTGTTTATCTGGGTGTTGGGTGGTGCAGAAGTTGAATGTGTGGTGCATCTACAGAGGCTTCGAATCCACAATGTGGCCGTCACAGGTTCCAAGTCCTGGCCTGGTGACCTTTGATGCAAACCTTTGCTCTTCTCGACTCCAATTTCCTGCCTATCTACCCTTAAAATAAGGTAAAGACCACTGGAGTCTTAAAGGAATTATTTTTTTTTTTTTAAGTTTGTGTTTTCCTTTATTGGTGCATCAGAAATAAACTGCAGCTGTTCTATGTAGTTTGAAAAATGAAGGAAGCTTCTTCTAAAGCTGCCTAATAGTGCACTGCATTCAAAACTGCAGAGATGTAAGCAGAGACCTGGCAATCAAAGAGTCATGTGTTGAAATATGTAGGGAAACTGAAGCATCAAAGACGCCCCATTCCTCCAACCAAAGTGGTTCACATCAGAATCCCTAGAAATTTAGGTTGAAAAAGCTTCTTTTTTGATTTTCTATTCTTGCAAACAGCGAATGACTCCAAGCAAGACATAAAATTATTTTTATTACATGCAATGTTAATGGCTTCAATGGACAGGAGGTCCTGCTTATTGAACTGAACTATTTGAACCCTTCTCCTCCATGTATATTCTGAAATATAACATATAAACTAAACCTTTGATTACCTAAACTAAGGAAAAAATAGGGCCAGACACAATGGCCCTTTTCACACATTAGCAACATTAACAACTTCCAACAGTTCGTTACCAATTGTTTCCTAGTGACTTAAATGATAAGTAAAAAGGTAAAGCAGCCTTACTTATTGACTGTATTAGGGAAGATTTTTTAATTTTTTAAATCGCCCCCTTTTCCAAACGCAGGCTTAATGCCATCTTCATCTGGTGTTGTCCCAGGTTAGCAAAACATTTTGGTGCAAAATGTGCAGCAAAGACACAGAGACCAGTTTGCAGAGTCACTGGAATTACAATGTGAAAGATTAATTTATCCATTGCTCCCTTGTAGCTTTGTAAATAGGTGAAGTGAAAGTATTTTCTCATCTATGTTGGAAACCATCAGCATGAGGTTTTAACATCTTTCCTTTCAGGACAACTCATTTGGAATGAGGGTGACTCAATGTGACAACTTCAGGTGATGGAATAGAGACGTTGTGGTTTATGTTATTACACTGGTATTATTGACATCAATTGATCACCAAAACCAAAATCTTGTGTTTAAGATGCTTTAAGGCGCTTTTGTTGGCTTTTCACACTCTGGATTTTACAGGTTTAACTGAGGACCAACACCAAAAGACATTTTAAATTGAAAAACTCAAGGAGGTTATAGAGGAACCCACAGAAAAAGTCAAAAGTTCTACAAGATCTCATTTATCTCAGTTAACATCGGTGTTGAAGCTCAAACTGGGCTAAAGTGTCCTCTTTGGAGAGTTCCAAGAGCAAAACAATACTTCAACACAGCATAAGCAAAGCCTGTCACCAAAAAACACCCTAAACTTTTGAGAAAACATGTCGAATGATAAAACAAAGTGAGAAATCTTTGGTGAAACAGATGTACAGATGTTGCTGAACTTAAACTGAGGTTTAGGTTTAGATATCAAACCTATGATAATGGTCTGGGGCTGCTGTGCTGCTCTTCTCTCTATCGTAAA